TGGATTGCATTTCAGAGAATAGTTCTCAAGAACAGCTTTTAGAGAACAATTTTCAATTTTTTCAAATTTTAAATTTACTTGGTTAAGAGAATTTATAAAACAGTTTTCGGAAAACAACAACTCATAAAATTACGAATTTTTTAAAATATTTTTATAAACTAAGAAAATAAATAAAAATATTATTATACCTCACTCTTTTATTTCTTTAATTTATGAAATTAACTATTAATGTGTGTGTGTATATATATATATATATATATATATATATTTAAATAAGTGTTGGTGAATTCATTTTAACTAGTATTATTAACTTAATAAATATTGCACAAATACAATATATGAAGTTTAAAAGTGCATTTAGATGATGCCCACATTTGATTCGTCAAAGCAAAACATTGGAGAATTATAAAAGTAACTTCATCTAGCATTGCCTCTGAATGATGCCCACATTTGATTCGCCAGATAAGTTCTATGGGCTCCCATTTGTGCTGCACCATCATCAATACATTCAGTACACCAATATTTAGTATTAACACGTGTGTATCATGTATGTATTGGGATAGAGACATTTAATAAGATGTGTGTATCAAAAGACCTATTCATTCATAAATTGCATCCATAAAATAAAGTTCTATAAAAGAAATTGAATCCAATATTCTAATATTCAAATACCAATTTTTTTTTTGTTTTTTTCCATTAATGGAGATGTTATATTGAACCAAAAGATCAAGCATTTAGTATATACTTAAAGAGGACATACCCTCCATGAAAAATCAACATGAACGGCCTAACAGACCACTCAAAACAGCAAAGAAGTTTGGACAAATGATGATGATGCATCAAGAGTTGTGAACCATACATTAATTTTTTGCCAAATCCCCCAAGAAGAATAAACATTTTCTGAACTTGTTGTTTGGTATTATTATGAAATTACATCACCAAATCATGAAGAGTTGAAAAGGAAGGTCAGGCCCAATGAAGCAACTTACAGAACTAAACCCAAACAATTGGTTTGTATCATCATCAATAGCCTCCCCACAGTTGACACAAATGGATGCCAGTTGCAATATGCTCCACCATAGTGACAAGCACAAGCATGCCTAGCTGCAAAAAAAATATAAAATAAAATCATGCAAGTCCAGCAATAAACTGAACATAACACATTGATACCAAATGATAAAACATTCCTAAATTGAAAACTACAAACTCAATCCTCAACTCTATCCCCTAAACAAAACCAAATCACTTGATCCAAAATGAATGAACACTCTTATGGTAAACAATATCCTCAATCTTCATATTTAAAAAAATTGAACTGAATAAAATTCATTGAATCAAGATAACTAAATGTGAGAGCATAGTTAGATGTACCAAATCAAAGCAATCAAAAAGAGGGATGTGTTTACTTTGAAATAAGATCAAATAGGAAAAAATGCTAACAAATCAGTAAGAATCAAACAAGTTTTAATATGACAGTACTTACATCTTGGGAAAACCATTATTTTTTTAGCAACTAAGAATCTGTCAGGAGCACAATTTCATTGTTTTGGCCACTACATATATATATATACACACACACACACACACACACACACACACATATATATATATATATATATATATATATATAATTCAATTGTAATTACCACCTATTCAATTTTAATTACATCATTTACCAGACCAATTACCAAACAACTTCCAAAGCCAATATGATTGTCCAATACCAATTATGTTGTAATGGGCAATTGAAATTTTCATGAACATAAACACAGAGAGGCTAAAAACATTTGATGGTTTAAAAGGTTATATATGGCACTTCTAACCATCAACCATGCTTCATTGATGTTAAATGCGACACAATATCCAGTGCTGAATGCATAATAAATGGGGCACAACATCATTATTAACTATCTAAGAATAAAAGTAGAGGATGAGAGTACATGCCTGCAGATAAGTTCTGCTATTAAGTCTGATGTGAACCCTATTGTTATAGTTTCTTTCAATGTAATATGTCTCCTTTGTTGATGGCGATTCTGCTACTGCAGAGACAGAGCACCCTTCACCATCACATATTAAAAATTGGCCTTAAGTGGTGCGGAACTGAAATTCTGAATCAGAAACTCTCCATAACTGCAGGAGAAGAAATTAAAGAAACAATTGAATCTCCAGATAGCAAGAGTTTAAATTTTAGGACACCACAATATAACTTAGAAGTTAATGACACCCTCTTGAGTATATCTTTGTTCAGTTAAGATACAAGTGATAGAGTTGAATCTTTAAATAAAATAATCTGTTAGTATTATATGATTCACGGTCCTTTCACAAAGTAACAGAAATTGTAATGTCAAAGAAGAAATTACAACCGCATAGATGCAATAACACAATTCACAATTAAATATGGGCCTCAGCATAGAATCTGAAAATTGCATTTTGGAATTTGGATTGTTCTCCCATGGGGACTGTTTGTTTGAGGGAGTGAAAATTGAGGCAAAGGGGACCATATATATATATATATATATATATAGACTATTTTATACATACGCAAATCAAATCCCTAAACTGAAAACCAAATTCCTAAACTGAAAACGCCAAATCTCTAAACTGAAAATCAAATCCACCACAAAACTCACACAACCAATAAAATATATAATCAAATCTGCAACCAAACTCATCCAACCAACCAAATCTATAACCAAATTTATAAAGAAAACAAAATTCATAACCATAAAAACTTGCAACAGAAAAAAGAATGTGCATGATTTGTGTTTACCTCAACAAAATCTGAGCAAGAGTTGGATCTAGAAGAGAGAAGTGCAACGATCTTGTAGAGAGAAGCGGTAGAGAGGAGAGAGAAACCGTGGAGGAGAGAGAAGCCGAGAAGCTGTAGAGAGGAGAAAGGTGTTGCAGAAGAGGCGTAAAAGGTGTTATGTACGAGATAGGCCACTTCCGTGTTTTTTAAGTGCACAGTGTTCTCCGCATTGCTCCTCCGTGTTTTCCAATTTTGCATCTCAGTGTTCCCAAAACTCTGAAAACAACAATTTGTTGGTCTCTGAAAATCTCAACTCTATTATCTCAATTTTCAAAAAACTGTTTTTATAAAACAGATCCAAGCGGACTTGTTTTGCAGTTTTCAAAATTTTGTTACTATAAAAACAAAAAACAGTTTTTATAAATCCAATCCAAGCAGGGCCATAGTGTTTGGGGGTTTTCTAAAATAGGTTAGGTGTATTTGATCAAAAAAGTTTTGTAAAATTTGCCCTATATATAATTGTGTATATTATATATACACATATATACATATGTAAATATAGTATATTGTTATAAGGATTACCATAATAATTAATATATATATATATTTTTACTTATCAAAAAAATAATAATTTTTTATTTTTTATTTTTTATTTCTTTACAAATTTTGATTTCAAGAGGTAGATTGGACTTTGAAGGGGTTACAAGTAACTTCATTTGTAAACCACCTAAGGAAGCCATAAATAGAAAAAAATTAAAAATTTAAAGAGACCAACTTTAATTTTTATATAAAAAATTATCATTAGTAACTATAAATAGAGTGTTACAAAAAATTTGAGCTCCATTTGTTTGGATGTAGAATATTTTTTTAAATATATATATTTTATTTTCTAGTGTTTGATTATCGTAAAATATTTATGAAGAAAGAAAATTAAAACTAAATAAAGATAACTTATTTATCAATTTTCGACAAGTTATTTTACACGTATGAAGTTTACCTCAACTTCAACTTAGACTTTTGCCAAATACCAAAATATATATATATATATTAAAAAAAACCAAAAAAAAAGAAAAATAGTTTGAAGCCCAATGCACTTGAATAACAAATATAGGCTGAGTTTATGCATAGAATTGTATATGCCTCAGTAGCTTAGTGGACTTGTGTTTGGATCTTGGAATGTTATGCGACTTTTTGCATTTACTAATCTAACTTTTATCACTATTTGCATTTACTAATTTAACTTTTACCACTTCTTACATTAAAAGAAAAAACGAAAAGAAAAAATATGCATGGGAAAGGAATTTAAAAGTCCAAAGACTGGGATTTAGAGGAAAAGAAAAATCATGCTTTCTTGTGCAAGTTCCAGAATAAAAAAATATATGAAACTTTTTTTTTTCAAAAAAAAAAAAAAGTTAAAAAATCCAAGTAGCACAGTTGAAACTGAAAGCTTCTCAATTTCAGTAGTTTCAATAGCTTATGCGGTAACTCTGATCAAACGCTTAGAAATAAAGGGCATGCATGGTTCAATTTTTTTATTAAAATGTTGTAAATAAGGCCAGAATTATGGTTACGAAAATTACTATTTTGCTAGTTACAAAGTGATAGGCAAATAAGTAAATAACCCTTCAAAAAAAAAAAAAAAAAAAAAAAAAAAAAAAAGAGTGATAAGCAAATAACTACCAAATGCACTCTTATAACACAGTAATAGAAAATAGATATTTTAAAATTTGAATATTGATTTTTTAGTATTCTCACAAATGAATACTCACTTTTTTTCTTGATATTTTCCTTGATAATAGAAAATAATTATTCATCATTAATCAGGCATACTAATCATTCCATTTTTAATGTAAAATTACAATACTATCTTTAATTCAATTGAAAAATTATTATGTATTTCAGATAGTCGCCTAATCAAAACACTTCATTTAAGAGAAATTGAATGTATAAATTAAAGGGTAATGAGTACTAGCTATAGTGTCCTATATTTTTTTCAATTTATGATATGCAAGTATAACGGTGCATTTCTATCATTTTTAATTTAAGAAGAAAAAAAAAAAGTGCATTTATCATTTCCTTTGAAACTTTTCAATAAATTTTCCAACTTTATTTATACGATTTTATTAAATAAATAAAGAAAATAAAATAAAATCTGGATATTATGGCTGCTGAAATGGCATCATCTACACCATACAATTCCACAAGAAAACGTCCAAACAATACCTCCCTCCTCTTGTATTGCTTGTTCTAGAACCCTCTATATCTCTCACCCTAAACCCCTCTGTCGCAATACGGGTAAGGGTAATTTAAACACAGGCACGCTCTTCTCGTCATCTCTCACCTACCAAAACACATATTTATACACGGTGATATAGATACAGAATCGGTTTACTTTGAGTGTGTCTCTCACTCTTATCATTCTAGGGTTTTAGTTATGGCCCCTGTTCTGAGCAGAAGTTTAGCCTCTGCTTCTGTAACTTCTTTTCCTTCTTCGTCTTCGCTTCCATGGAAGAAACCCATTAAAGCCTTGAATGCTGGAAGTGTGTTTTTGCCGCAAAATGGTCTCAGAAACAACTTTTCTCGTTCCGGTTTGAAGTGGAAGCTCGAGAGGAGAGAGAGTCAAGTGGTGGTTCGGTGCGAGGCTGCTGTTGCAGAGAAAGAAACTGCTGAGTCGTCTGATGAGAGGCACGAGTACCAAGCCGAGGTGGGTTCTTCTATTACCCTTAATTTGTGTTTTTTTTGGGTGGAAAAAGGAAAATTGGGTCTGAATTTCATCTATGATTTGTTTTGTTTCTGTGAAAGGATGAGAGGAAAAAAAAAATAAAAAAGTGTTGTTTCTGTGGAAGGATGAGAGGTAAAAAAAAATAAAAAAAAGGAAACTGAAATTCATTTCTATTTTTCATAATCAATTTGGTTTTCTTTGACTTTTAACTTCGGTGGAATTAGGTTTATTTTATATTTTGATTGACTTGGTGATATAGATTCGGGGCCTTATTTTGTTTCCTCTAATCTGATAGTGTTTGGCTCCTAAAAAATGACAAAGTTTCCATTTTGCTATGTCTTTCTCTGGTATTTGGCCGGTTTGAGTTGAGTTTTTCATTACTTGTAATTCAGAACAACATAAAATGAAGTGTCAAACTCCAATTATGGTGGTACACTTTGGGAGCAGTTGTGTCACACAGATCAGAGAATAACTTTATTAGAAATGCTCTCTCATGGCTTGGCCATTAAAAGTATGATTTAGCTAAACTGGGTCAACATTTTCACAATTTGTTTATGACTTCTGAAGTTGGAAATTTGGATTGATTACAGGTTAGTCGCCTACTGGATTTGATAGTTCACTCTCTGTATAGCCACAAAGAGGTTTTTCTTCGGGAGCTCGTAAGGTAAGAATAAGTTTATTATGCTAATGTAGCTTATTTTCAATGATGCCACTAAGTCTAGCTTACTGATTGCCCCCCAGATTAAATTTAGAATTCTGTAATTTGTAGGGTTTAAATACCATTTTTTTAATCTGGAATCAATGTATCAATTCAATCTGCCATTTGAGTTTCTATATATGTCTATTCATATATGTATGTCATTATGCATTATTTTATTTATGCGCATAGGACCTCATTTGGCAAATGTTGGTTTTCCCCAAAAATATCTATTGACTTAGTGTTCTTTTATTTCCAGTAACGCAAGTGATGCTCTTGATAAGTTGAGGTTTTTAAGTGTGACCGAGCCTTCTCTGCTTGGAGATGCTGGTGAGCTGGAAATTCGCATCAAATCTGATCCGGAAAATGGGACTATCACTATAACGTATGATGATATATATATTTTTTCATTGTATAATTTCCTTCGTTAGCAAAAGGAATTATCTAAATCGAAATCCTTTGTCATTGTAGGGATACGGGTATTGGAATGACCAAAGAGGAGCTCATTGATTGCCTGGGAACTATTGCTCAGAGTGGTACTTCAAAATTCTTAAAAGCTCTTAAGGTAATGATTCCCCTGCTTTCCTCGCAACTCGTTGTTTAATGATGTTGAACTAACTTATGTAGCTTTCTTCATGTATAGGAAAATGAAAATAAGGATCTTGGAGCCGACAATGGTTTAATTGGGCAATTTGGTGTTGGATTCTATTCAGCATTTTTGGTTGCTGAAAAGGTTTAGTTATAGTATTATTGTTTGCTTGTGGTTCGAAACTTCTAATTCAAGTTTTGAGTTGTTTAGTTTTCCTTGTGAGTTACTTGTTTATGTTGATTATCGTGTATTCTCTACCAGGTGGTAGTCTCCACAAAGAGCCCAAGGTCAGATAAACAATATGTCTGGGAAGCAGCTGCTGATAGTAGCTCATACGTGATAAGAGAAGAAACTGATCCTGAAAAGCTTTTAAAACGTGGGACACAAATCACCCTCTTTTTAAGGGTACTTCCCTGTTTACGATCGAGTCTGTTTGTTTAAATTGAAAACAAATTTTTTTACAATATGGTGAATTTTGTGGAAGCATGGTATGTGGGGAGGAACCGCTATCTCTATTTCCTAGAGGATTGCATCTTAGAAAGATAATAAGAAGTCATTTTCATTTGTTTTGAGGCCTGGTGGAGATGGTATAAGATAAATATTACATTCTTGTGCAGCTTATCCATATTAATTTTTTATATACACGTTTCTTGAACAAAGACTGCAACCTAAGATCCTATTGTCTTTCTTGCAGCCTGATGATAAGTATGAATATTCAGAACCAACCAAGATTCAAAGCTTGGTGAAGAATTACTCGCAATTTGTTTCATTCCCCATATATACTTGGCAAGAAAAATCAAGGACTGTTGAGGTGAGTTTGTTGGACGAATAAAATGCATACACTGTGTTGCAAATGATAGTTGTTTCTGTCTGAATTCAGTATGTTCTAGTTTTTCTCCTCAACTTTATTTTTTCTTTTCTGTTCGGATACAACCTGGAAGCATTTAGGTGTCGATCCAAATTTGTTGTTTTCTGTGGATGCTACTTATTAGATGTACTAGCAAAAGTCAAGTCAAAATTTCAGAGCACTATGTTCAAAGGGAGGTGATTCGTACTCCCATTTTTGGTAAATGCACTCCACCTTGAATTTTTAAAGTGAAATGGCATTATTGTCCCTAGCTCATAAACAAGAGAATGAGTATTAGGGGTACTTTGGTTTTTTAAATCAAGTATTAGGTTGCTCCATTGTGATCTGGAGATCACAGGTTCAAAACTAGAAACAACCTCTCCATGTGAAGGTAAGGTTGTGTACACCTGACCCTTTTGGACCCCGCAATGGTGGGAGCCTTGTGCATTGGGCTAGCCCTTTTTACAAAAAAGGAGTGCATTTAACAAAAAAGGAGTGTGAATATGACCTTCCATTTTCAAATTGTTGGTGTTACCTTTTTTTATGTTAAATCTTATGTTTATGTTGTTTTTTGTTCATAAAAATGTCTATTTTGTTTGAACAAATAAGAGCCTACTTTTCTTGATCTCTTGATCCCATGGAGTATAGTAGTGATGCTTTTTGACTCTCCTCTATTTGTATTTTCATGACCTGTTTTCTCAGTCAGAATGCTATAATTATGCCTCGTTCCTGTTTTAGATCTTATTATAACTTTTGACAGGTGGAAGAGGAGGAGGAACCAAAAGAGGGAGAAGAAGAAAAACCAGAGGTAATAACCTGGTCATGGGCGTTATATGTATGTTTTCATAGGTTTGATGACCTTCAGATGTGTAATTTTTAATTGTTTTTTACAGGGTGAGAAGAAAATAACAAAGAAGACTAAAACTGAGAAATATTGGGACTGGGAATTAGCCAATGAAACAAAACCCATATGGGTGAGTTCAAACTATATTTTCCTTATATTGTCATAGTATCCTTTTGAATAATTTTTCGACTACATATCAATGCTATATTTTACATTTACTTCTATGTCATATCACGCATTCGGTTATTTGTGTTTTGATTGTAGATGCGGAATCCAAAGGAAGTTGAAAAGGATGAGTACCATGAATTCTACAAGAAAACTTTTAATGAGTTCTTAGATCCGCTTGCATACGCTCACTTCACGACAGAGGTACTTGACACTTATTTTCATTTGTTTTTGATGAATCACTATATATTTTATTGAATCAGGAATTTGACCTTTTGCTTTAAAATCCATGCAGGGTGAGGTGGAGTTTAGAAGTGTTCTCTATATTCCTGGGATGGCACCTCTTAACAATGAAGACATTGTGAATCCCAAAACAAAGAATATACGTTTATATGTGAAACGTGTGTTTATTTCAGATGATTTTGATGGTGAGCTGGTGAGTGTTACCATAATAGTTTTACTTTAGTACTGTCATTGTTCTTTTTCAGTTAGAGAAACATATTTTCTCATATTCTTACTGATATTGTTCTTCTATTTGATAAAGATATATTTCCATATTCTTTCATGCATTAATAATCATATTTTGTATATGTTGACGTATGCTTTCTTTTACTTGTAACGGAACACTAGACTGAAACCCCAAGGACATCCCACATCCATGACTAAGGTCTGTTTTAATAAAATTTTAATGCTGGTTTATTAGTAGTGCTGAAAGGTGAAGAAGGTATGTCTCTGTATAGAGTTGAAAATTTAAATGTAAATTTGTGAATATAGATTAATACTACCTTCCACTGAGCATGAGTGGAAGTGAGGGACTTTTTGGTTTGAGTGGGTTTAACTTGTTAAGTGGTCGCTAACAGTGCTTTATTAAAATGCACTTGGTATGGGAGACTGATTTCAGTCACTGATTTTAATAAGGACTATCAACAGCCTTGAATTTCCAGATTTGAAATTTAGAAAAAAGTAGCTTTTTTTATATTACATATGTATATATATTTAATGTATTTATGTATGTGTGTAGATAAAAACTACTTTATTTTAACAATACTAAAATGTTCTTAATTATGTCTTATATATAAAACATGTCAAATATTATTCAACTCGTGTCAATAAAGCTTAGTGTGACAGCAAAATGAGTTTCTTGCCATTCAGCTCTAGCTAGAGTCATGTCCTTTAATACATTACAAGTCACCATGCCCTTTTCAGTTCCTATATCCACTTTACCAGAGCATGTGTGATGATTTGTCCTCTATGGCTCACACTTTTATTGAGTTAATTTAATTGAAAATTATGGCTATTGAGCTTAATGGAAAAAAAAGATGTCATAAGTTGGGGAGTACTAATGAAAAATATCAATTACAAAAGAGCAACTACTAATATACTACATATTGATGCATTCATGCATAAAATTACAAGTTCTAATTTTGGGGATGACTGTAATTTATTGTTTGATTTGCAGTTCCCACGATACCTGAGCTTCGTGAAGGGTGTGGTTGATTCAGATGACCTTCCACTTAATGTTTCTCGCGAGATTCTTCAAGAAAGCCGGATTGTAAGACTATTTCCGACTTACCTGTATATGTATATTAGATATTTATTTTGCTAGAACTTTTTGTTATCAATAATTTATTTTTCTCTTGTTAATTACAGTATTTCAAAGTTCCTTTTTGCAATTTAATATTGGATATGTTCTCTGGATCCTTTTCTTAATTGAACTTTCAGGTAAGGATAATGAGAAAGAGACTTGTCAGAAAAACATTCGACATGATTCAAGATATATCTGAAAGTGAAAATAAAGAGGTTGGGATTGCTTAATCAACACTCTCTCTCCCCCTGTTTTTTTTTTTTCCCCTTGTTCCTCTTGTGATTGTATTGGATTGATAAATTTCTTAACTTCTTTTCCAGGATTACAAAAAATTCTGGGAGAATTTTGGAAAGCTTCTGAAGTTGGGATGCATTGAAGACTCTGGCAATCACAAGCGCCTAACACCGCTGCTGAGATTCCACTCCTCCAAAACTGAGGAGGAACTGATAAGCTTGGATGATTATGTTGAAAATATGGGTGAAAATCAAAAAGCTATCTATTATTTGGCAACAGACAGCTTGAAAAGTGCCAAGACTGCTCCATTCTTGGAGAAGTTGGTCCAAAAGGATCTTGAGGTATGTGTTTTGTCCTCCTGTTGAAATTATTTTTAGCCAAAAATAAAGTCAATTCTGATGCATAACAAATACAGAGGCTGTCATTTGAGTGGTAATAGCACAAAATCTTTCAATCAAATTTGCATTTGGACAAGTTGATGAATATTTCGTTTAAGGAAAACTTATTATGCAAAAGAAATGACTCCTTTGCTCTTAATTTAAATTGGACAAAAAGTACACATGTATAGTAAGAAAAGAAAAGTTTGGACAAGATGACTCTTGTTGTCTCAGCTACTAATTAAACTTCTCATTATATGTTCAAAATCATCCTAATAGTTTTAGTTTTTCTGTGTGGACTTTGTCACCATTTAGGGGCAGATCCATTTGACATCCCTTCCTTCTAGATTACTGATACAGTTTATTGGTTATAGGTTCTATATTTAGTTGAGCCTATTGATGAAGTTGCCATCCAGAATCTACAAACCTACAAAGAAAAGAAATTTGTTGACATCAGCAAGGAAGATCTAGAGCTTGGTTAGTGATTTTTTTTTCTTCCCGAGTGTGGCTGTTTGTGGGAGTTTATTATTGTAGTTTCCCTTTGTGGCACTTTTTTTTTTCTTTTTTTCTTGTTTAGTTTCCCTTGGGGTTCCATTTGTGGCACTTTTCTATGCATAATTTCTCATGACAAAGTTTATGACAGGTGATGAGGATGAGGTTAAAGACAGGGAAACTAAACAAGAGTACACCGTTCTTTGTGATTGGATGAAGCAACAGCTTGGTGATAAGGTAGCGAAAGTCCAGGTCTCAAAGCGTCTAAGCTCATCTCCTTGTGTGCTTGTTTCTGGCAAGTTTGGATGGTCTGCTAATATGGAAAGGTAACTTCCAGTGATCAGAATACAATACTGAAAAATGCAGCATGCCACTCTTCATCCATGAAGATTTGAAAGAAACCGTTTCTTCTTTTGCAGGTTGATGAAGGCACAGACACTTGGAGACACGTCAACATTGGAATTTATGAGAGGGAGGAGAATATTGGAGATTAATCCCGATCATCCCATAGTTAAAGACCTAAATGTAAGATTCATCTACTAGATGCTGGTTGACTCTCTCTCTCTCTCTCTCTCTTACACACACACACACACACCGCACATGCGCACACAAATACGCACAGAGTAATGCTGGTGGACTTATCTTGAGGCTGCACAAATTGAACATCAATTTTAAATGGAAATTCCCTCATTACTAGTTTAGGAGTAGGAATGTGATATCATATGCATTGAACTACAGAATTAAAAAATTGATATTGGAAGTCATGCCTGAATAACTTTTGAATCAACTGGATGAGAGATTTTAGAAATGCAGAGGAACCATTGAAAAATTTTACAAAGTACTCCAACTGATGTAGGACAGAATGCTTTGATACAAAGATGATGCAGGACCAGAAAGAAAGCTGGGGATGAGAAGATAGAAGAAGAGGTGAGTGTAGGAGGGGATGAGGAGATAGAAGAAGAGATGAGATTAGAAGAATGGGATGAGGATGCAGACGAAGGGGGTGAGAAGAGAGAATGAATAGATAGGCTGGACAGAGGATGGGTTGAGAAATCGCAAGAACACAAAAGGGAAGAAGACAAACAAATAGATATTGGAATTAATAATCAATATTCCCAAAATCTACTGAGTTCTGTTACATGCAGCCTTTCTATTGGCAAACCGTAAAAAATGAAATTAAAATAAAATGCTCAGTAAGCACTCACAACTTTATTTTTAGAAGTTACAGGACCATTGTTGGCAGGAAAGGAAAGAAACTAGCAAAGAACTGTTATTGATAAAAATTAATGTGGCTTAAGTTTTTTTTTCTTTTAAAATTTAATAGATTACGAAGAATGAAATTGATTTATGTTAAACCTTTAGAGGAGGTGTTCCTTGGAATGCAGGATTTGTCCATGAGAGGGGCTTTCCAGTAGCTATGGTTAGCTCAAAAATATGGTTTAGGTATGAATGTGCTCTTTGTGTCCTGGTGATCATGTCATGTTTTAATTAAATTAGTGTTCTATACATTCTTGTGCAACTATGCACAACAATATCCGGGAAATACAAACACAAAATAAGTATGATTGGTTTTGAATTATACAAATAAGTAATTTGATGAACAAATAAACAAGCAATGAAACGAAATAAAAGATTTGGAGACTTCAGTGAAACTTTTCTAAGTAATAGTTGGTATGTTGCCACTATTTCTTTACATTCATGCTCTTGTAGGAGAACGCTCCAGTGTTGTCTGGTTTTAACAATTTTTTTGTTCTCATTTTACCTCCCTTAGTGAATACCCAATAAATTAACTGTTGAACAATCATTAACTTGAGAGGAAAATATGTGAGAGAAAATGGAGATTTCTTTCTTTGGTAAGTATAAATAAAGAAGAAAATTACTTATCCCGCAAAATTTACTGTGGGGGAGAATAGCTGTGCACACTCACATTATAACATCACTGAGTAGGAAGAATTAAATGGTGTGTGACATGGGTCACCTACAGCCAATAATAAATACTGGAAATGAGAGAACTTTACCGAACATGATACTGGAGGTGTGGCGGCGTTGCCCGAGTGGTAAAGGGTCAGGCCTTAAGTGCCCCCCACCATATGATCCTAGGTTCGAATCCCCTTCCCCCTAACACCACTAACTACTAACTCTCCTTGCCAGGTGAAAAAAAATCTGAACATGATACTGGAAACTGGAAATGAGAACGTGAATCAAGAAATACAATAATTCAGAAATTAATTGCATTCACCTCAATTAGGCGTGCTTTTGCTGAGTGTCAAAATTTACTAGAGTTGTATATGTAATTATTGTCTCTGAATGTCAAAAGGAAATCAAAATTTACTAGAGTTGTATATGTAATTATTGTCTCTGAATGTCAAAAGGAAATCAATAGGGTCGGTAAAATGAGAAGTTATGGGTATCACAGACAAACTGGTAATTTATAGGGTTGTAGAACTGAAAACTATAAACTGAAAACTATAAGCCTTGTTTTATCTTGACCAGCAGCTTCATTTTATCTATATTTACTTGCAGGCTGCGTGCAAAAATGCACCAGATAGCACTGATGCCAAGAGAGCTGTTGACCTCCTATATGATACGGCATTGATCTCCAGTGGATTCTCTGTAAGGACAACTTATAGTCATTTCTTTCTCAAATTCATAGATTGTCGTTACGTCTCATAACTGATATATTTCCTTTTTATTGGCACAGCCTGATAGTCCAGCCGAGCTGGGCAATAAGATATATGAGATGATGGCAATGGCCCTTGGAGGAAGATGGGGCAGATCAGATGGTGAAGAGACGGAGTCGACTGAAGATAATGCTGCGGAGTCTGATGCCAGTTCTGGAACCTCAGAGACACAAGTAGTTGAACCTTCAGAAGTTAGAATGGAGGCTGACCCTTGGAGTGATTAAGGAACTTTCTTCCAAACATTTTGTTTTTTTTTTTTGGCATTGTGTTAACGTTGTTGAGAGAGAGGGAGCTGCTGAAAGAAGTCTAGGTTGAGAAAGAACTGCCATTGGATGCTCTGCTGAATTAATGGAGTTTTAAAATTATTTATATGATGCATCACCTCTCTATTCTAGAACTCTTAAGATGGATAAATTAAAGTGATTTACATCACATTTTGAAAATATATTAGTATCAATTTTTTTTTTTTATTCGTATTATTGATTTCTAATTTACATTAAGCATATATCATGTGCATGGTGCATGTGATTTTACTAGAAATATTAAAATGGTAAAAAATTTCAGAGTTTTATATTAGTTGGCCAAAATTGAAAATGGAACACATTATTTCCCTCCAAATTCTATCTCACCTTAGATTCCACCCATCTGTATCAATGTTGAGCGTGCAGACCCTGAAAGGGCGTCAACGCCAAACGGGAATGACACAAAAACATATTTTTTAACTATTATTATTGTAGGGCCTTTTGGAATATACCTATAATTCACATTGGAGTACATGCAATTTCCTGTTGTTGTCTCACTTGTAAAGGACAATTATTATTGTAAAAATTTAAACGCAATTTTACCGGAAAATACTTGTTACAAAGATAAATTAGTTTTGATATATAACATAAATGCCCCAGTATAATGGTAACAGCTCTAGCTGTCTTGGAGTGTGCTCCTTTCAACGCCACACTGGGTTAGTAACGCTTCTAAAAGGTCCCTCCTCTCGTGAGAGAAGAGTCATGAACTCTCCTATTTTTTAACTTGGATGCATTAAATAATTTATTTGATTTCTCACACATTTTAAAAAACTGTTTGATCCGATAATTAAATAAGGAAAGCTCATAAGAGAGACCTCTTAGGAGCATTTTATATATCAAATATAACAACTATATTATAATCTGGATTTTTTGTTGATCAAACAAGAACACACAACTTTGATTTGTTTACACTTTTACTTAGTCTGCCAAAATAGTCGGCACCACCAAGTCCAATTTCTGGAAGTCATTCACACTAAAAATATTTCACGAGCTTGGCCGGCAATGGTGACATAACCTTTGCTACAGCCTCAAGCAATCACATACACCTGTAAAAAAGAATTTAATAAACAATTTCAACTATGCATCTAAAACCCTATTTTCAATAAACAATCCATGTACACCTGCACTCTCACCTTTCATTGTTGTGGGAACAGAACAATGTCTTATAACTTCTCCTCCTGTTTCTTCATGGCATCTTCTTGAAAAATGTCCCTACAACTTGTCCACTCACTGTTTGTAGCTCTTGTATTTTCTGCATCCTCCGATCTCCCGATACCGATTTAGTTTAGTTTAATTCAACATGGCCATGAAAGGACTTTCATAACAAATAATATCATTCGGGTTATTTAAAAACTAGCAAGACTCCTCTTCCAATATTCCTTTGCCTGACGTATACACGGTGATTGATCAGTGTATGTTCTGCCTACACGGGGTGTGAGGAGAATAGATTAGAGATAAATTTTAACCTTTTGACTATGTTTTGCACGAAATGACTAATTTCAAACTCGTACAATGTTTTATGAATATCTATGGTTGTTTTGTTTCGTATCTTGTTTGGTTTGCCAAAGCTGATCCAAATATCAGTTCAGCAATTTATTATTATTATTTTTCATTTTCTTAAGGGAAGATGGGAAAAATATCTTTGGAAGTTGGTAGCATTATCTTACTATTACATAACACGCGGGATGTTTTAATTGGTCTTGGTTGAACCCTTCAACAAAGCAATGGAATAATTTATAAAGAGAATTTTAAATTCAGTTTATTCAGATTCATGAAAGGATTGAACCAATTTGTGACATCATTGATGTTATCGAATGAATATAGATGTATTTTTGTTTTCATGCAGTCGAGACCTTTTTATATGGTAGGATTACTTGGGTTCTTTGATGAAGGTGGTTTTATAACCAGTACTGAGTTTCAGCAACAAGAGTTCATTCACTTTTGAACAGTATCGGCTTTACAAGAAGATGGCTTCGTTTTCAATGGAGGATTTTGTTGGGAATGGATCTCTTAAAGAATTGCTTCCAAAGCTATTAGAAGAAGGGTGGGATAATGTACCGACCTTGAAGATTATGAATTCGGAGGATATGAATGCAATCAACATGACTCAGGAACAGAAGGTTGGTTTACTATCTAATCAGATTTTAAATATTTTATGAAAACCAGTAATCTAGCAATGATTCTCCACTTCTTTGGGTTAGGCTCCCTGATGTGAATTAATGTTTTCAATCAGCATCGCTTTGATGAAACCATTTTCAGAAATACTTATTAGAGGAAATTTTCTGAGCAGTCTTCCCAGAAAAAAGGAATGATTCAAGAAATAAGCAATCTTATTCATGTTTGTTGATGTGTTCCCTTGACAATAAATTTAGGCCTGCCATATCATAAAGATGAATCCTAATTTATATGTTTCGCCTTAGACCTGGTGCTGATAATAAATGTTTTTACCAAACCGATTCTATATTTTTATCATATTCCTGAACATTTAAATTCATCATAACCAATTTGTCCCTAAAGGTTTTTCTTTTATTTTACTCTAGGATGCACTTGAAATAAGGTCATACCTGCATGAACGCGCTTTGATGCAATATGGAGATAGTCTGGAGGCCTCCAGGAAATGTCTGCCTGAGCTTCTTGGTTTAAGCATGCCAGATCTTTCTTCTCAGTTCGGCATGAAGAGGGGCCACATCGCCCGTTTCATGGACAGAACCAGTTCATGTGCAGATCCTTTGCCAGCATCATATGCTCTCCCTGCAAGGAGAGTGACCTCCATACCTTCAAGAAACAAAAGCATGTTCAGGAGAGAGCTTGTTTCTGTCGACTCACGAAAAATGCACTCTCTGTTGAAATCTCCTGCAACGAGCGGTAAAAATTATGATGTATCAATTGAGCAATCCATGGCTGAATTTAAGATCAAAGATGGACATAGCTTTAAGGGGATCGTGGCTGCAGCACCTGCAGAGCCTAGGGCATGTGGTTGTGTACAGCCTCCTCCAATAGTTGAAAATGTTGCTCCACACTCTGCTATTGAGAACATCTCAATCGAGAAACTAACTCCAGAGTACAAGATTGGGATGGAGCGTTTGTTGAAAACGAAGACACCGCCAATGAAGGCTTCGGAATTATGGCGTGATAAACCAGTTGTGCTCCTCTGCATCCGACGCCCTGGGTAAACTTTTATATATATTTTACATCTTTTTTTTTTTTTTTAAGTAAGATTTCACTCAAAGTGGAGCACAACCCAAGAACAAAAAAAGCATCTAGTAGAGATAAACATCTTGATATGACCTTATTATGTTAATCTACTTCTCTGGAGAACTTGCATTTTCTGGGAGAAAAGCCAGAGGTCTCATGGACTTCTGTGTTCCTGAGAGTGTATATTTAAAATATTCAACATAAATATAAGTTTTGGAGATGGCATGAAATCGTTAGGAAATATTAAATTAGGTACCTAAATAAGGCATAACCACATTCAGAATTACTTTCTGGTTTTCACGTGTTGGTAACTAAATGAAAGTAAGAACCGTAGTTTCTTCAGCTGTTGTTGAATTACTTTCAACAGCCTTTATTTTGTATGAATGTGGTCGGCCACTTGAATTCTCTTTTTTCATTCTCTTCTATTCCATGTCATGTCTCATTTGATTAACGAGTCTAATATTGGTAACTGAAGTTGGTTTGTTCAACTCTCTCTTGGAGTTATCTTACAGTCTTTATATGTGTTCCATCTCTTCTTTTAGATAAAAAATAATCAATTTTCTTTTTCTTTTTCTTTTTCTTTTTCTTTTTTTTCTGTTCGTGCCGCTCTTAATGTTATTAGATGTTCTTGTCTTTTAAAAAAAAAATGTATTTGCAATAACTAAATCACATGCCTTTGTGAATTCTAAGAGTGCTTATTGAAGTAATTTCTTAGCATCAAATTTATCAATTAGTTGATTACATTACTAACCAAGCAGATATTAAATATTGTTACAACTATAAAATGTCTCACCCAGCACCTGTTGGCTTAAGTGGTATCCCTCAAATAACAGTTTTTTTTTCGCTTCCCTCAAGTCACAGTAATGCATGGTGTACTTACCAAAAATCTGAGTTCCACTCAGCCCGTTAGGAGAAAAACAGTTTTAGTGAGATCTAACATCCCATATCACATAGATGTATTTTTCCATTACAGGAAATATGGAATCAATCTAACTATATTGTATCCACTATATGTGAATGGAAAATCAGGTGCATAATGTGCAGAGCAGAAGCCCACAAACTCTATGCAAAAAAACCCATTTTTGATGCGCTCGGAATTCAGTTAGTGGCAGTTCTTCATGAGCACATAGAGTCAGAGGTAGTTTGCTATCTCTTTTTTTTTTTTTAACTTCTTGCTCTTTTGATCTACTCATGTTGTTTAAATTGTTATTTTATGGTTCCAGATAAAAGATTTCTGGCCCCGATATTGGGGTGGTGTCGTAGTCTATGACAGGGGCATGGAATTTTTCAAAGCTCTTGGTGGAGGAGAGCTGCTCAAGGACAAATTCATATCAGGATTTCTTTTCAATCCTCGAGCTATTGCAAATTATAAACGTGCAAAAGCCATGGGAGTGAAGCAAAACTTCAAGGGGGAAGGTGAAATAAAAGGTGGACTCTTCATAGTTGGCAGAGGAAAGAGTGGAATTGCCTACCAGTTTATAGAGAGAAATTTCGGAGACTGGGCACCTCTTGCTGAAGTCCTTGAGATCTGCACACGGTTGCAGGTAATTCTCGTAGGCTCTCCAGTTCTGTACCCGGCTTCTCTCCTGTAAATTTTTTATTTTTAATTAGCTTTTCTTTGTCTTATGCAGAACCAACAGCAAGGTCAGCAGTCATCTATCAAAACATCAGCAGAATATGATTAAATTTATTTTTGTTCTTCTATCGTCTTTTACTCTTCAAATTTCAGTAATTTAAATTCCTTGTGATTCAAGCTTATAGTAGTACTACTTGTGTAATTCTTTCGTTGTATTGACAAGAATATTTGTTTCTTCTACATGTTTGTAAGATAAGTTTGAATACTAAGTTTTGATTAAAATTTATGTAACTCAGCATACAGGTTTCCCAATGAAAAGTAAGTCTACCTGATATAAATGCCCAATAAAGAAAAATGAAATAATGAAATTGTGCTTTATGTAAAAATACAAGGTATCTCACCTAGTGTACATTATGCTCTAGTGTACCATAAACTCGAACAAGACACCAGGTCCCCCAAATACTAAGTGTATTGATCATCTGGAGTTGAAAAGGCAGCATTTTGCAGATCCAACAGAAAGGGGTACCTCATCTCTGTTGTTTATGCATCAGAACTGGAAGGTTTCAGGAATCAGAATTCTTACCTTGTCAGCTATGGCCCATCGAAACCTTATCTGTTAAATTCTTCATTTTTAAGCACACATCGACGAATTTGCTCATAGCTTCTCCCTTTAAAGTGCACTTGTTTGTTGGATATGTCCAACAAGTTATACTGTACTGTATTGTATATTCCCAGAGATCATTACTGAATTGTGTTTTAATCTCACAAGATTGCTCATCTCGACTGTTGTACCAAAATTAAACCCTGGTGCTCTATGAGAAATCTATCCAAATTCTCAAGTGAATAGGATTGATATATTTCCTTATGCACACATTTCATGGCTTTCTATCATTTATCTTATGCATTCTAAGGTTTTAATACCCTCTGCAAGAGCTTTGAGCACCGACCAATCTGCATTACCAGAAATCTCCACAGGAACATGTTCCATCTTTAAACAAATGGAACCGAACAGAGTCTCGTACAAGAATCTCTCTGTGGGTGATCTTAGAAATGAATTTAGTTGCATTGTGGCAATCTCCACATACCCTGAGGTTTTTGACCACTCGTATGGGCTGGCCAGGAGGAATAAAAATCAAGCCGAATGTAATAGCAAGCCTCTCACTGTGGTGGTTAAGCATCTTTATCTTCTCTGATTCGTCAACGTCATGCAGAACAGAACTCATATCAGGCACATATCCCTCCTCAATCATCTTGCAGTTCAATTTCTCAAGCTCAGCATAAATCTTATCTGAATATGGGCTTGACCTGTCGTCAGCTGAAAAAATGTGTACTCTATTTTTATATTTAATCCAACTACATCCCGGTTCCTTTCTTACGCCTTTATCTCTCATTCCTCTTCTTAATTTAGCCACTTCATCCCACTTCCCTTTAGCAGCATACATGCTTGAGAGCAAAATATAGCTTGCAGGGTTCCCGGGCTCTAGTTCTAGCAGAGACTTTGCTGCCCATGTCCCCATTTCCATATTACCTTGAACTCTACATGAACTCAGCAAGGTAGCCCAACCAATCGCATCAGGACGGCAAGGCATCTTATCTATGAAACTTTTTGCTTCTTCTAACCTCCCAGCTCGGCTGAAAAGATCAATCATACAAGTGTAGTGATCTTGAATTGGAACAATTCCATGTTCTTTTACCATTGATTCAAAATACTGACGTCCTTTCTCTACCAGTCCCGCTCTGCTGCAAGCTGAAAGAACCCCAATAAAAGTAACTCCATCAGGTTGCAGACCATGGGCCAACATTTTCTCAAACAACGCAATTGTCTCATTCGCTTTTCCAAACTGAGCATACCCTGAAACCAATGCAGTCCACGAGACTTCGTCCCTAAAGTTCAACTCCTTGAACAACTGATGCGACTCTTCTATGCTTCCACATTTACCATACAACGTTATAAGTGCATTAGAAACAGTAATAAAGGAAATCAAGCCTGAAACCAGTGCTTTGCCATGAAATTGGGCACCCTCTTCTAAGCTTGCCAAATTTGCACATGAGCTAATAACACTTCCAAGAGTAAAATCATCTGGATCAATCCCATTCCTCTGCATCTCGCAAAAGATCCGAACAGCTTCTTCACTGTACCCATTCTGACCATAGCCCACTACCATTGCAGTCCAAGATACAATATTTTTGTGGCTCATTCTCTTAAAAACTGTTTCTGCGTATTTTATGCTTCTACACTTGGAATACATGTCAACAAGGGCACTACCCACAAAGACATTATCAAGGTGGTCAGTCCTAATTATAAAAGCATGGATCTGCTTGCCTTCCTTCAAGGCCAGAAGACCCCCACAAGCAGTCAAGATACTACCAAAAGTAAACTGATCGATCGCCAATCCTTCCAACCTCATTTCCCTAAATGTATCAACTGCTTCTCTCTCTAGTCCATTCTGGGTAAGTCCCGTAATCATTATTGTCCATGAGATTGAATCTTTTTCGGGCATACAACGAAACAAATGCTCTGAATCTTCAATCATTCCACACCTCAAAAGACCCGTGATCATTGTATTATACATAACCAAGTTCCTCTCGGGCAATATGTCAAAAACCCGTTTTGCGTCATAAATTAACCCTGCTTTTGAGTACATATCCACCAAAGGACTACCCACGAAAACATATGACTCGAAACCAAATCTCACTATCTGTCCATGAATTTGCCTACCCAATCCGATACAACCCTGATTGGATGAGATTATGAGCATTGTCGAAAATGTAATCCGATTCAAATTAGTGGGTCCATCTTTCAACATCAACTTATAAAACTTCATCGACTCATCAAGCGATCCATGACTTGCATAACCCGAAATAACAGAATTCCAAGAAACCCCATCTCGACTTGGCATTCGACCAAAAATATTTTTCATTTCAGAGAGCCACCCAGACTTCGAGTAAGCCGAAAGAATGGTGTTCCATGAGAAGAGGTTTGGTTGAGGAATTTGATCGAACACTCGGCGGGCATAGTTTAGATTGCCTAATTTGTGATAAGTGCTGATGAGATTGTTCAAGAGAAAAGTTTCTGGGTCTATTACGGTTTTGACTATGAGGCAATGTAGCTTCTTTGCTTGTATTTGGTTATGTGTTTCGCAGCAGAGCTTGAGTAATGGACAGTAGTAGTTAGAAGCAGAAGACATTATCTTAAACCTACAATTTGGCGGGGGATTGAAACTATGCCTAATAAAAAGAATCCGCTATGCGACTCAAGGTCACGTGAACTGTCACGCGCCATTAGACAATACCACGGACCATACTTTAAATTAGGGGGTGTGAACTACGTTAAACTCTCTTTTTCTATTTATGTTTTACATTAAATTTTCCTTTTCAAAATTTTTTTTTGCTAAAAAACCCGCTCAACTATCCAAAGCCAAAGACTTAGCAAACAGACATTAGCTTAAAGAGAAATGAAATAAAAATTGATTTAAATACTCATTACGCCTATTTAAAAATTTACTTTGTGGTTGCGTCTTGATATTTTTTATTAAATAAACATCATTTATAAAATTTAACACTTATATTATATGTTAACATTTTACTAGAGTGTCAAGTTCACGCTAGTCACATGGAAGGAATATATTTTTGTATAGAAAAAAACTATTTTGAAAAAAAAAAAAAAAAAATGTAAGCATAAATAATATATTAAAAAAAAAATTAGGCATTATTTCTCGTACAGTCCCTTTAACAAATCTGTATAAAATGAAAATTAATAAAAACCAAATAAATGAATGCACAATATAATTCTCAAATATATATATATAGCAAATAAAAAGAAAAAAAAGAAAAAGAAAAGCCCAAATTTATATAGGTATGAAGGCTAGATGAAATGGAAATACAGTAAAAATAATATATAATGGTGCATATTATATATACGATTATATAATGATAAATATTATATATAATATTATAATGATATATATATATATATATATATATATATATATGATGGGTAAATAAAAGGAGTTGAGCAATAAGAAGAGTATTTGATGTTGTGATAATGGAGTAGAAATGATACATATGTGGGGGTATATTAAAAAAGGTACAAGGGTATTTTTGTCTAAAAAATATATAAGAAAATTCAATGTCCAAATAGCTCCCTTTCAGCTAACTTTCGTCAGTTAAATCACCCACATCGGATAGTTGAGGGAAATTTTTTTGCAAAAAAAATAAAATAGGAAGGTTTAGTGCATAAGGCAGATAGAAAAGGGAGATTTAATGTAAAATGCAAATAGAAAATGAAGGTCCCTTTCAACTATTGGTTGCGTTTGGGGGGAGTAATGGACCAGTTCCTTGAAATTAAAAAGGTTTAGTTCAATAAAATCAAGGCTGAATTTGATATTTTCAAACATAACTCATCGAAAATTAAAAAATTATTGGTGATGTTTGATCCAGTAGAAATGAAATCAGAAATTTAATGATATTGAATCAATTTGTGATGAGGGACACTTTCATCAAATTGAATTAAGGGCGATATTAGAAAGGATTGGTCGACAAAATATGAAACATAGATTAAACATTGATATGCATTCTTGTTACCACGAGATGCATTGATAGTTGCATTTCATTTGAATGTAATTTACATTAAATGGAGTGCATTTATAGCCTCCTTTTGTAATATTTTTTATATATTAAAATGGGTAGAAAAATAAAAAATAAAAAATCTTTAGAAGGATTCAGGATGACTTGAGAGTTGGAGCAAATATAGTGAAATAATTTTTTCCTACATTTATTTTTTAAATTTTCTTTTTCTTCTCTTATGAAGACAAACAGCCAGATATCCATCATTTGATTCCATTCCTCAGCTTATCTTTGAACGAAGGACAAAAAGAGAGAAAGAAAAACCTACTAAATCCCACAATGATACCATTTGACAGTTTACAGCACCACCAAACAGGCACCAAGGCATTGCAACTTCCTTGTTCATTAATAATTTGTTATTTAGTTTTTCAGTCGCCATATATCATTTAGATGATAAAGACCAAGAAAATAGATATAGCAGTCGCCATATATCATTCAGATGATAAAGACCAAGAAAATAGATATAGCATATACAGCAAAGACTAGCACATCATCATAATCCAAAAGTAGTTTAAAAGAAAAAGGAATAACATTTCTTTGTCATTCAGTCAATATATGATTTGGGTAAATACAGCTTAAATCCCACCCAAACTAAGCATCACCTTGGTTCAGCTGCAATTTTCCTGTAAATCCCACCCAGCCTGATGCATACAAGACTGCAATCAAACACTCCATTCCAGATCTCTGGCAACTCACTTCTGGTTTTTTGTCGTGTAATATACACCGTGATCGACAAATCCTCCTCCCATGAGCTATGAATTCTCACATTTCTGACAAAATAAGAGGCCACTGCTGCATTAAGTGTGCAAGAAACTTCACAGCTTGTGTACCGGATCAGAGAGCTTTTTAAGTAGGAGCATTGCAATAGCATACTATATTGGCAGAAATAACTGGAAATGAAATCTTATGAGCTTTATTATCCCATAAGATAGTGGTACAAGGAGCTAGAGCATAAAAAAGCCTAGGACAACAATCAAAGTTCGACTTTCATGTTGCCTGGTGGTAGAGATCCTGGAAATGGAGAAAAAAATTAAGAGGTTAAGCTTAAAAATCCGTTGCTGTTTCAGAGGAGAGGTTATATGGAAAATTTTAACGAGTTATACCGTTTAAATCCTGGCTATCGAGGGGAGCACTGGAATTGAAGCTCATCTGGACAACATGGTTGAGCTCATCCTCCCACGCATTGGGTACCTGTGGATAAAGACATCAGATTGAAGCATACTTGTGTCGCCTGCTGACTCAAGCAGATATCGAAATCATTAACTTTTCATCATAGAAGGAAAATGCATGGCCTGGCCCATTGAACCTGCGTGGCGAACACTGAATTTTTGAGCGAAAGGCCAATTTTATGATCCCCTTGGACGCATAGTTTCCAAGAAGGGCTTCTCCAGAGATCTCATGTACCAGATATCAGTGCTGGACAATCATGTGCCTCAAAAACTTAAACCATAAGGAATGACCAAATAATTTGTACCAAATATCACATCCTTAGGCAGACAGAACTCCACAGGAATGGAGTGCAACAGATGAACGGAAAGGTATACGAATTTGAAGTAAATAGTAAATAATATAGGAACCTGAGTATCTACTCGCTGTGTCTTTCGGCCTTGGCTATTAATTCAATTCTTCATCTCAGAAGAAAAAGAATTTTTGTAATTGTGGTTGCTGAATTAAGTCATGATTTCAAACCAGATTTTATTTTGTTTCAGGTTTATTGGTTTGTCATATTCTGGAAGAAGTTGTAATGTGACCCTATTTACTCATCCACCATTCTTTTTTCCATGAACTTCTGGAACAGTCTGGATCTTGGATAAGTTACCCATTTATTTTTCCTGGAACCAATTCCATAGCAGCTGAGAAAGGTGAGATTTTAGCATAAGAAAACCTGTTCTGTTAGGCAATTTCATTTCCATATCTTTGTTCTATAAAGTGTTATGTGGGGTAAAAAGAAGGAACTGAACTAAAGCACCACCTAATATGTCTCGAACTAAGCACGAACAATGGTGGAAAGTGAAGAATTCTAAAACTGTACCATTGATAATAATTCCTGTGGTTACGAAGGTCGACATTCCAGTCAAGAGACTTCTACCAAGAAAGAGATTCGGTCACTTTTGGGATGCTTTAAAATTCTATAGGAAAGCTTGTCCCACTCCAACACTGCTTAGGTGAATAAATTCAGAGAGATTTATGTAGTGGAATGTGTTCGGGCCAAATTGTGGAACCACTACGCATGTTATGGGCTAGGTTAACAAACATGCAAACACCAACACCCAGTGCCATGCCACACACTCACGCGGAGCTGGCATCTGTTCCGCACTTCTTTTTTTTTGTAATAAAGATTAAATATCTGTTTTGGTCTGCAACCTTAATGGACTTCCAACCTCATCCATTGGCCCTTTACGGCTTTACCAATTACCCTTGGGCTTCTGTTATTCTCCATTCCGCACCCACATAAGTGCTAGCTGTTTGGCTAGCACTATCAGCTTATTAGGACCTTCAACGATCATTCTATCCATGTTCCTATAAATTGGGCCACTATGCAGCCCTCTCAAGATAGAATACAAGCTTCATTCTTTCTCTCTCAGTCTACATCTCTATCTCAATTTCTGTTCCTGGAGTGCTTTTCAATGATCTTTCAAGAATTTAGGCCATCTTGTGGATCATTCTTCTAAGTGCAGGATTGTGGACAAGATCACTTATAAAGTCAGACTTTCATGCTTCAGCAGATAAGTTTCTTTCACACATTCTTATTTAAGATTTATATGAGCTTTAATACTAATCAAAAAAAAAGATTTATATGAGCTTTAATACTTATCAAAAAAAAAGATTTATATGAGCTTTAAATTTACTGTTCTATCTATAATTATACAATCAAGCACCGTCTGATTTTCCAAGAGAATTGTCCTGAGAATGGACCTTCAGGCAATATAAATTTATGAGAATGGAAAACTAATGCTTATTACCTTATAAAGAAGACAATAAATGATGAGAACAAAGCAATGCAATTTTATATGAAACTACGCCGTGAATACGAGGCTGTTCAGGCTAAAAATTTTGAACCCTGGAACGTCTGCAGTTACACTTTCCAGAAATTCTTTGGGTAGAAGACAAGAAATGCAAACAGGATAACTTGAAGGAAGGAAAGATGTTCAGTCAATCTCTATTGAATAACATAGTTGGAGAAGAACGTCACAGAAGAATCCTTCCAAGAGACAGTTTTGATTGCAAGAACTTCAGGCATTAGTATTAATGTCTTTTGTCACTTTTATTACTTATCGAAGAAGCCGAGCTACAAGAAAAATTCCCGCCACTACCATAGTAGCAGCATGTAAAAGAGCCAGAATAGGAATAGGCCCTTCCATGGCATCAGGTAACCAATACGTGAAGGGGGAATTGTGCAAATTTAGCAACTGCACTGGCAAATAATAAGAACAGCACACACAGCCTGAGGGGGTCAAAGACCAAGAAGTAAGTTTCTTATACCAGAGAATTATTCTTATGACTATATCCAATCTCGTGGTCCTTGCGGAAAGGAAAAAGAATTTCATGCACTTCCTTTCGAAGGAAGGAGTAGGGAAATCCTATTACGACTGTGGTGAACTTTTGCAGAAGGGAAGCAAAAACTTCAACCACAATAGATACGACTGTTTTTACCAAATTGCTAGTGCCTCATGTCACATCAGACTGAGATGAAGTTGGATGTTGCTCTATCTACTAGCTCAGACTCTATAGGAAGTCGAGCAGCACTGACCTCTGAAGAACTTCTACCCTTGGCACAAAGCTCTATAACCCTAGCTTCCTAACACTGATCTCTGAAGAACTTCTACACTTGACATAGAGCTCTATAATATTGGTTTCCTCGGCAGTCTCTGAAAATAGCTTGCCAGATATCCAAGGATATTCAATCACAATGAACATCTCGTCATATCCATTGTCTTCCGTCCACAGCCTTGAAAGGTAAATCTCCATACTTTCATTGCTTCATATTTTCCTCATTATTCAGATTTACATGTCTTGGTTGTGTTTGCTTTAATATTCTTCCAGCACATGAAAGAACAAATCTCCCTAAACATGCTACCACTTGTGCTTTTGTGGAATATAGTTCTGATTGAAAGGGGTTTTATAGTTACAATTCTAGTATTTGTTTCATGAGTCTCTGTTCCTGTTATCTTTTGTTAAAGTATCTAGTAGTGTACCTCTGTTGCTAAATTTCCATACTAATCTCTTCCTCTCTTTACTCGATTTTTCAGATGTTCTTGTTTTTTATTCCCTTATTTTTATTGAGACTAATACTTCCACTTCTAGTAGTACAGCAAATCGGTTATTGGTCTATCAACAATGAAACAAACAATATCTGCCTACAACTTCGCCCATTTGCCAATCAGAGCAAGGTCAGTCTTCTCTTTGATATGTAAGCTCTCCTATTCATTCATCCACTTTAGTTGATCCAGCTTCTTTTGATGAAACTATTCCTTTGAGATGATCCAGTTGTATCATTCAATTTATTCTTCCTCCTGACCATCCTAGCATTCTTGCACATCACTCATTGTTTACTTCCTTGGACTCGATTGAAATTCCAACTTCTTAGTTCTTACCATCAAAAAGCTATTTTCCTTGTTGGGAAGAAGCTATACATGCAGAGATAAGCTCCTTAGTGGATGACGCATAGGATCTTGCACCCTTGTCCTCATAAACACTTCCTTAGTTGGACCAATGGGCCAGTGGCCTAGCGGTACCAGGCCCCTACTTCCCAAAGGGAGGTCAGGGGTTCGAGCCTCGGTGGAGACGTGTGTGAGTACCACCAACTAGGAAAAAAACACTTCCATAGTTGGCAATAAGTGGATCCTTCCCGTAAAACCAAAATTTGATGGTAGTATCAACAGATACAAAGCAAAATAAGATTAGCATCTCGCTAACAAAAATGAGATCTAACAAGATCGGCTTTCCAAGATTTAGAATTCTGATCAATCAAATCAGATAAGCTTGCATGCCTCTAATCATACTTTGGTAGACGAAAGCGCAGAAGTGGAATGGGCGGAGCCCTGGAGTACCGGGTTACCTGACTGGCCCCTCGATTCATTTGAAGCTGGAGAGTGACCAGAGGATGCGGTTTCGAAGGCTTTAAGAGGTAAGAAGTGAAGCGAATAAACTGACTTTCTTGATGCTTTTCATAGCCTAATTTTGATTATTCTGATCTTCATTCCAAGGATATTACGTAAGAGAAACGATACAGAATTCCCAAATCCATTTTGTTGTCCAGCTATACACAATTAGAAGTAAAGAGAGAGATAGAATGGAATGAAGAATTTGAGCTTTCGTGCTTTGCTTGCCAAGAATCAAAACTGACCCAGGGCAAGAACAAGCAACCTCACTTCAAGTGAGAGGGATTACTCCATTAGCAACCTCTTCTTCAGTTGGATGACTTTAAGGCCGATGTGCAAGACCCATTAGAAGAAGTTAATCTGAGTCTTTTAAGATGAAAAATTTAGGGCCATAATGATCTGGGTGTTGACAAGTTAAAAGCAACTACTTTATCAGTCTTTTAAGATGAAAAATTTAGGGCCATTGATGTACTTTCTTGGTTTGAAAATTCATGATACCTCTTGCTGGTATACAGTAAATGACGACACATGCATTAATACCCTATAAGTGAATATTAGATTCAAAAGAGATAATGGTGAGAGGTTTCCTGATCCATCTTATTACCATCAGCTTGTAGGTCGTCTCCTCCAGCTAAACATGGCTCTGCTGACCGTATCTTATGCATTGTTAGTTGGTGTGTGTTTTGGAGGCTCCCCCTTTTTGGTAGGCAAGATACACCACACTGTTTTCAGTCCTCAACTGAAGCAAAATATGTAACAATGCTTCCATCTTGTAATGAGATCAGTCGGCTCAGGGCATTTTATGAGACCTAAGTGTGCCGATCCTGACTCCAACACCTCTATATGGTGATAATTTACGTACTATTTGTATTGCATCAACTCCCATCGTCCATGAGTGTGTGAAGCACATATAAGTTTGAGCCAATTATTTAGATGGTAACATTATACTTCCTCATGTTGCCTCTCAAAAACAACTTGCTGTAAGTTATGAAGGAAATGTATTGTGCTTGAAATGAATACCTAGTTCACAAACTGATGCCATTTGCTCAGCCTTAGTTTGAGGGGAAGCGAAAAAACATGTTGTAAATTGTAACACATCATTGTACAGTACATTATTGTATTTTATGACTTAAGAATAAAGAGGACAGCGTTCTTGGTTGGCTGTCTAAGATAGAACAGACACCCATTACGATATCTGGTGCTTCATCTACACTATTGCACAAGCTCTGTGTAGATTTATTATGGGGATCTGATACTCCACTTGCTAATACACAGAAATTCTAATGGTTAATCAATCATCAACTCAGTTAATTTTCCAAAAAAAAAAAAAATGTGTATATATATATATAAATTGAAAAAATCAAGTGTGTACTATCAAATTAGTATCACATACAAGGGCACATCAGAAGTTTGAGAACTGAAATCTACAAAACAAGGGTATAAGGAAAGAGAACTACAACAACTCTGGACAAAAAGACACCGGAGGATACCACCGGGAGTTAGCTACTTAGCTTGGTGGAATCTCCTGCCATCCATAGGGGAAGGTGCCAGGTTTGTGCTTGTTTGAACATAGGTTATATTTATTGCTCTCATAATATAAATTAAAAAGAAAAACAATACAAGATAAGATACCTGAGGGGCAGACTCCTTGTATCCTCCACTCATGGCTGTCATTTGAGAATTAATGGCTCTCCGAAGTATGTCAGAAGAGTTTGCTACCCCAGGAAGACCTGCTTGGATCAATCCGTGTTGAGATGGATGCAGTGGAGGAAAGGGCATGCTCATATCTGGTAGAAGCCCCAGTGCAGATGATGGAGCAGCTCGTGATTGGAGGATCTGCAATGAAGAAGAACACATTTTTTTGGGTCAGGACACAGAGACACATGATGACATGTCAATTTGTGTTTTACTGTATAGTGGGTGTATATGTGTTTTCACTCACATCTTTTGCAAGGAGCCCTTCAATATTGAAGTCCAGCCGTGGATTCACTGTAGCAAGCTTCATAGACAGAAACTGAAGAGAGGGGGAGGGAGAGGGAGAGGGAGGGGGAGGAAAAAATGTGACATATATTAACAATTGGTCCTTCAAAGCACATAAAAATTAAAAAAACATAAGTAGCAACTATGGATAATGGATTTCTCCAAAACAATTTAAAATTAACATATAATGAGTTCTATAAATAAACAAAAAATAATAATTAAAAAAAAAACACTTCAAATAGTCACTTTTTTAAAAGATAATGCATTAATAATCTTCACTTAAAAAAAAAAAAAAACCTATTTTGTTGTTACATCCAAAGGACTCCTCAAAGCACAACATGAGGCAATTCATCTCTTAAAAAAATTGATAAAATTGAAGGTTCAATATTTTATAAACATATAAGACATAGAAAGGCAAAATCACATGACAAACAACAAAGGAGAATGAAAATAAAATGGAAACAAAACTTTACTAGCATACCTCAACTTGTCGCTGTAATGATTGTACATAGTTAATGATTTCATCTAGCATAACTGCCTTGCCTGTGACCTGAAATGACCAATTAATTTCATTAAAATCACTGTACTCTATTGATAATTCAATTTTATTGTACTCTCTAAGCCATTAATTCCAACAAACCAACCTTGCTGCAACCAGGCACAAGGTCCTGAAGAAACTTCATTCTTTCACTGATCTTTTCCCTTCTCACCTATCATCCAAATCAATTTTACTTCAATTAAATGATTTTTTTTTTCTTTGCAGAAACTGAAACCTTTCATTATTAAATCTTACTCTTTCTGCAAGACTGTGGCTGTTTGTTGCCTGGCCTCTTCGCGCTCTAACATGTATGTATTCTTCCTTTGGTGAATCCGAAGCTTGAGAACCCTGTTTACCATGTTTTCCATTAGGCTTATTGCTAGTTGAAGCTGGATTTAGATTTCCTTTCTGTTGAATTTCAGTGTCATCCTTTATAGCTTCACCAGGTAATTGTGGGGCTTCTTTGACTTGATCAAGCTCCATGTCCTACAACATAAGAACAACGATAACTGGTAAATGAAAATTAAAAGCAATTGCTACTGATCAAAGAAAAAACAACACTGAACAGGGTTATACCTGACCACTTCTTTTCCTTTTCTTTGAACCGAGTCCTTTAGTAGAAGAAGGTTCTCCACCTGTACCATCCAACACTGATGGGTCCTCTTGACCACCACCACCGCTAAATTCGGCTTCATCAGACTCGTTGCCAGACACACCAATACCTTGTTTTACTTCATCATGAGACCTCAAAAAGTTCTCACTCTTCCTCTCATTTTTGAGTGAACTCCCTTCAGTAGCTCCATGCTCAACAGACAAGGAACCACCTTTGAAAACTTCAGCCACGTTCACCTCATTCCTCTGGGACTGCCCACCAGATAAAGATTTCAATCCATTGCTTGCAAAAGCCTCTTGCGGCCGCTTCATAGCTGCCGAAACCCTAGAATAAGGACTCACAGGTTCAGGAAATGTGAAAGCGTTCATCACATCACTAAAATTCCCCCCACTGAAGCACGAGAACCTCGCTGCTCGCTCTATGAACCCTGAATCCGCCGGGAATTGAGATAAGCTATGAGGGAGCATCCCAGAAGCAGTTGGTAAAGACATGGCCCCTTTCAACATTGAATTTGGTGGAGTCCAACCCATATCAAGTGTTCTCTCAACTCCAATTCTGAAAGAGTCAAGATCTGCTTTTCCAATTCCCATTGTGTTTGAAGTGCTGGCATTGTTCTGGGTATTAACGTTACAATATCCTAAGTTTTGTGAACTGGTAGGGTGATCCCAAATGGTTGGGCAAAATGAGTCAACCATGTAGGTAGAGGAACTGGAAGAAGGCTCCATTAGATCTCCTCTACAAATTGCCATGGGATTGCCTGTGGGAACCAATCCCATCGACGTATTCACGAGATTGGCGGTGCCAAATCGCCAGTCTGAGGACATATTGGGTGAGTGATAGTCTATGGGTTCCCCATTCCTTTTTTCTGGCTCAAATTTCTCCTTCCCATCCATATCCATCTCTTTTTGACAAGAATAACAAAAGTTGCCAGATACAGATACCTCTCAATTGCAGTTGTCTATTGAACAATATGGATTTTGAAACTAAAAAATTGTCCCCACCCAAAAGCCCTAATTGTTCAATAGTCCCAATAAAATCAAAACCCAAAAGAAGGGATGGAGTATTAAATACTTCACAAACAAATTTTCAACAAAAGCTTGCACCAAAAAACACAAAGGGACTTGAAATTGCTAGTGCTAACAGGGAAATGTAAACAAAGAAACTATGTGATCCTGTTAAGCTTAGCAACAAAGAGAACTGTTGAGGAGTAAGAAATAATGGCCCACTTAAATTTATGAGCTGAATGTAATAAATTCTAAAGCACTGAAATTAAATTAAGTACCGGAATATGCACCATAGATCACACAAGTATATAGCCACTGAGTTTCTAGCAGCCCTCCCAAGTTATATAATGGAAACCCCAAATGTCAAAAAAACGCAAACCCAGTTCAATAAAGAGGTCAAGAAAGTGGCTAGAAGCAATTAATTAAGCAAAAGCATTGATTTCAGTATCATAAATACACATTCAAACCTGCAGTGGAAACCCTAGTCAGAGTAAAACAGACCCCTCAGCTCTGAAACAAAGAGAGAGAAAGAGAAAGGAGCTGGAGAGAGAGAGAGAGAGAGAGAGAGAGAGAGAACAACTAAAAGTGGGAGGAGAAAAAAATTGATTTCAGATTGTGGGCTACTTTTGGTACTCTGTCAAGCATTTTGAAAATTTCTACTCAAAGGGTATTTACTGAATTTGGTGGCTCTATGTTAGAACCCTCCTGGCTTTTAGCTCATCAACCAAACTGACATGTACTGTGTGCAATGTTTCATGCTCCCAGAGAAACCCTCTTTAAAACAAACCTTTAGAGAGAGAGAAACAACAATAGATCAGGAGCACGGTAGAGAGAGAAACAGTACAGTACACCAGAGAGCGGAAAGGAAATCGGCATTTGAAGGAAGTGAAAAAAGGAAGAGTAATTAACTTTCAAGAAATAAACAAAAAGGTAGAGTAATGACAAAGGTACTGCATTTATACCCACGCCTACATCAAAACGAGACTGCTTGATGATTAACCACCGCCACTGCTGCCATAAAATATAGGGTACTTAATAATATATATTCGTGTATATATATAAGCTTTTTTTATTTTTTGATTGTGTTTAGTTTATGTTTATTTACTTCTTATTTTTACCTTTGTTTGTTAACTAATTTTTCAATCTAGGTACTTGACTAATAATTTAACACCTTGAGCTAGCAACTGACATGGCCAACTCTCATTAGATATATTATAGTATTAATAATCATATTGTTTATTAAATTATCAAACATTGGGAGGAGAGCTTATAACTATAATTAGAGTTGTTCGTCAAGTGATTCTTCACAGCTTATTTCACTTTTTATTTTAGGTGGTTTTTTTCAGTCATGGATGTAGGATGCACGATAAAAATCTTTTTTTTCAATTGTACAAGGGTATATCGTACCCGGACTCACAATTATAGAAATTTTGTGCACTTCTTTCTTTAGTATTTTTTTCATCCCAAAATAAGTGTTCGGTCGTGGAATTATTCACAATCATAGTGCACACTTATTTTGGGATGGAGGAATTGTGAGTTATAGTTTTCACAATAGACACTTATTTTAATATATAACATCATTGTCTCAATTAAGTCATATATTATCCAAGGCGAAGCCAGAAATTTAGTTCAGGAGGCATACTTAGCACGATATTTGTTTTATCTTTTTCAATTAACAGTGTAACAAGACAACAAGTTAAAAAATAATAGTGTGATAACATTACATTAATCTGTTTTCATGACTTGCTTATCTTTTTCATCAAATTGTCAATGAAAATACAAAACAAAACAATTGTCAATTATGCCTTAAGTGTATAAAATATAAGGAAAATAAATAAGGAACTAAAGAGATTTTTACGACAAAAAAAAAACAACTTTGAGGAGGCATTTTATAGTTTTTTATAAATTAAATGCATAATATATAATAAAAACTAATGGGCTGGGGGCAAATTGGCCCATGCTGGCCCCACCCTTGCATTATGTTACGTCCTTATTTAGGGGTGAAAAAGTTTGATATGTCACGCCAATACTATACGAACACGACACGAGTTAAACGGGATTTCGTAAATCAGTAGATACGATTAACTCAGTTAATTAATCGCATCGTATTTGGATTGAGGTAGTTTAACCCGTGTAACCCGTTTAATTGTATGTGTCATAAATAAATTTATATTTAAGTTCCAAAATAACTATATACACTTATGTCTTGTAATTTACTCTTTTGTAAACTAGAGATTATTTAGTGATTTGGTTTGATTGAAATTTATATTTTTTAAATTTTCATTGTTTGATTGATTATTATTAGTAATTTAAATAATATAATTTTTTTTATTTTAGTAAATAGGTCATTAAACGGTTTAACTTGTAATCTGTTTAATAATTAGGTTAGGTTAGTGTTGAGTACAAATATTAAATAGATCGTGTTCTGGTTAAACTATTTATTAAAACACTTTTAGCTTGATATGACACTGTTATATTCCGCGAACACAAATTAACACCTCTATATTTATTTACCAACTCCCTCTGCATTAGATTCTTCTCCTCTCTTACCCGTGAAATATATCACTATTCATACTCCGTACATTTAAAGGTATTTTTTAAATATGTCTAGACTTTTTAACTAATTTTATTGAATTTTATCCCAAATTAGTACTACTCCAACAGCATAATGTGATCATTTTTAATCTCATTTTATACACATAATGTTTCTCCACTTTCGAACTTTTTGTAACGTAACGTAAAGTACACAAGCCTACAGTGCATGCCTGTTTTAGAATGGTTGTGACCAAAATTCTTTTCAGTGCACATGTATCTGCAGTGCATGCAGTTCGTTGGAATAGTTAGAATCAATGATAGTTTCCAATTGAGATTATATATTAGTGTTGTGGGAGTTACTTATTAATGTATAATATATATATATATATATATATATTTTGTAAGCTAATCTTCTTACTATATTTAAATTTTAACTAGCCATACGAGTACACACTATTAAGTATTAAGCAGTGTTTTTCAAATTTTGGAGGGGGGAAATATTTTTTTGGTAAGTAATCTTTTTAATGTTTTTAATTTCAATTGTTTTGGGTCCTAACAAATAAGATATTCAATAAGGCTATGTTTGGTATAATAGGTGGGAAAAGAAAAGAAAGGATTACATAAATTATGAGAGAAATGAAAAAAAATAATAGTACTAACCTCTACCCATATTAATTTATTTATGTATTTAGTTAATTATAGAACAAAAAGAAAAGAGATGATAGTTTCAGCACTTAATCATGGTGTTTGGGGAAAGAAAATAAAATAAATTTATTTTAATAAATTTCTCACTAAACCTTTTCACATTTAAAGAAAATATAGGTAAGAAGTGGTAGGGCAAATATATATATATATATATATATATATATATATATATATAAAATAAAATAAAAAAACAGAAGAAGTTGCTAGATATCTTTTAAGTCAAAGTGAGAATTTGATAATAAAGAAAGGGTTAAAAGATAACAAAAACACGCCAAATGACTTGGTATTTTGATTTTGTTTCTTATAAAAAATAATAATAAAAATAAAAATAAAAATAAAATTGTAAATTCAGTATTAAAAAAGTTTAATTAAACTTTGTAGTTCTTTCCTTCCCATTTCAACACTCTCTCCATCCAAATTCCCTCCACCTGTTCCCATCTTTGTTTAGTTTGGGAGGATAACAAAACCTACAAATCATGCATAATCTATATCCATCCAAATCCCTTTATTTTCTTTAAAAATTCATGTCAAACACAATATACCATTTATGTCAAAAGTTTAACTACTCAAACACAATGATAGTGTTGCATATCCACCCATATATACTTCACACTTTTCTCATCACATGTTGGACAAGAACCTCTAACAGAATCTTGCAACCTTGTATAAAGGAACAAACTTAGGGTGAACTTCATACTGCCCAAATCGAATTTTTTCAATTTAATCCAAACTTTCTACCTTTTTATCTACTTTTAACCCAATCAATATTTATATAGGTCAATTTTTTCTAATTTTCTTTCTTGATTTTTATTGTGGATAATTTTTTTAGTATGAAGCCTAACATCTTTTAAGCCTAAACTTTTGATCCAATTAGATTTGGGCATTAGGTCCAAAGGCAAGTTCAGTTTATGGGCAAATAATACTTATGAGCTCAACATGCCACTATTATATATATGAAGTTACTGTAGACATTTGGCAAATTGCTCACATGAGCAACATGGTGGTACAGAGTGACGTTAAATGGCACAATAATGGAGTTGATATTTGTGGCCTTACATTTGATTGTGATGGCCTTGCTTCTAAAGAGAGAGCTCAACCAAGGAGAAAAGAGAGGTCATGAAGAAGAATAATACTATTTTAAAAAAATTATCATTCCATATATCATCATAACTTAGCAAAAGTAGATGGATAAATATTATAAGTAGTGTTCTGTCTATTTGTTTGAATGGTAGAGATTTTTCCCTCTATACGAATCGAGTAAAGTTCGAATGTGGTCCTTAAAAAATTGTTTGTTCGAGAGAATTCAAATCCAAAACTTAATGTTTCATGAGGTATTAAGTCATGGGTTTCATCACTGGAGTCAACCTCTTAGGGTTGCAGAGATTCAAAGTTAACCCAATGGTTTGGCAGAGGGGAAAAGAAACGAAGGGCAGAGCTATCTCTCTTCCTTAAAAATGAGAAACTATCTATAATAATTCTTGGACCTAAAACTCAAATTGAGGTCTCTAGCGCATCTAGCAGATATATTTCTAACCCTTAATTGAATTGGATAATGTGAATAAGCCTAAATCTGTAATCTTATCCACTTCATTCAAGGGTTAAAGATCGCTTAATTAGAAACCTCGGTTAGAGTTTTAAACGTAAGAATAATTATTTGTTTTTTTTGTTTTCTGATTTTTTATTTTGATTATATATATATATTTATGTATTTTGTTGCCTTACCAGCTCTTGAAGGATCAAACAGCAGAAAAAAACATCCATGCTATCCAGATATCCATTCTGATGTGCTTGGAAAAATCTCCATGAAAAAAGTAATCCAATCAAATGGGTAAGAATCATCACTCACATTCTAAAAGCTGGCCGACCATTCTTGAATTCCAATAATAATAAAAAAAAAAAAACACAAAGAGCAATGTTATTTTGTGAACTTATTGGCAATTTTTTACTATTTTATAGTACCGTTTTTTATTATTATTACTATATTTTTTTTTTTTTTGAAAGGTATTTTATAGTACTGTTGATGGACTGTTCCTCCCTCTCTTTCTCTCATGTCATTATTAGTTGGCATTGGGACTTGCAATCACAAAGACCCAAGCTTTAGAATAATGGAAACTCATTCACACTTTACTTTAAATATTATTCTAAACTATGCTCATACCTAAGCTTTAGAAAATTGGCCATGTATGAGGTAAAAATGATTTGTATTGATTGATTGGGTTGGATTTACAATGTATTGTTAGGATGAAAATAAAGAATAAAACTTATGTGCATACAATTAAATAAGCTTAATCCCTTTGCTTCTATTAGATTAAATATAGAATCAAGTACAAAAAATACTCATGTATTATATTTACAGTGCATATTACATCTTTTGAATGCTAAAAATACTATATTAAATTTGTGTAAATATGTCATATCGACATATTTAAAAATATATCATTTTGTAAAATGATTGAAAAGAACTTTGTGCAACCAAGTGAGTAATATGCTACTAATATCATAATAGATGGGTATTATGTGCACATAAAATGCAATATATATATATTTAGAATTATTGAATTTCTTATAATTGTTACCTTTGGAATTATTAAATTCTAATTCTTTACCAAAATTATTGCATATGAAATGCAATAATAAATAAATTCTTTTTTATTTATACCCTCAATATATATATATATA